CCCCACCCCCTGCGCCTCCCGCCTGTTGCCATTCCCTTATCGTAAACCTCGTTCTGACATATTTGCCTCCTCGACGTCCTGGCTGGGGGAGGGAGGGATATCCACTTTATGAGCGCCAAGGAAAAAGAGTGGCGCGCATTCCGTTGGGCCGAGCCGTCTCTCTTGTTTGGCCTCGCCTCGCCGTCCCGGCGTGTGCCGTGGGGCTGAAGTGGGCGCCAGGCGCCAGGCGCCACCTCCAGCTGGGGCGCCGTCCTGCTGGCTATGGTTGCCAGTGTAGACCTCCGCCCCCGTCACCCAAACTCCTCGCCCAACCCTCCATTTGTTCGTCACTTAGGGGGACACTATCGTATGCCCTCTGCCAAGGTCAGCAGCAACTCCCTGCCCCTCAACTTGCCGACGCCGAGATCCAGTTAATTCCATAAGCCCACACCTGTTGGCAGATGTCGATTTCATCGTCTGAGCTATTCGAACTCGATGCTCGAGCTCATCGGCTTTTTCCGCCCACTGGCTGTAGGCCGCACAGCCGAGGTTGTCTAAAAGCATACTTCGATATCGCTTTCCCGCTTTGGTCTGCATTATTTTTTTCTCTCTTGGCTAGAGGGAAGCATCCCGACCTTGACCGGCAGACATTGGGTGCCGCTGGCCAACCCTCGCTCGGTTTGACTGGGAACGGAATGGGAGACGGGTCGGGGGGCGTTGCTCACTTCTCCTCGACCGTAAATCGCGACAAAGCCTTAGGCCCAACTATCACGCCGAACGGCCGCCCGCAGGCGCCAGGCGCCAGGCGCCGCAGGCACGCACGCCCTATCCTGTCGAGTCGACCTTCTCGGCCTCCTCGCGAGGGCCCCCTCCCTCCAAGCCTCCTCCAGCGCTGCTCTGTGTTCGGCCCGAGGCCCGCCCGAGGCCCGCCCGAGGCCCGGCCCGGGGCCCGGCCATTAGCTGACCGACAGCCGCAAAGAGGAAAAGGAGAACCGCTGCCGGGTAATTTTTTCCCCCACGACCGCCTGGTGAGCTTCCTCATTTTCACTCGCGTCGTGTTGTTCTTTTCACTGTTCTCTGCCCTCCGGAGGGGAGAGGAGGGGGCCTGCCCGCCCGCCCGCAGCTCCTCGCCGGCCGCGCTGTTGCTCGCCGCCTTTTTGGCGTGTCGGAGATAAGAGGATGATCCGGGCCGGGGTCGTCCCGTGCTTCCCCGCAGCTCCTTAACCTTCCCTAACCCTCTCTCTCTTTCTCCGCCCGCTCCCGGCGTGGCCCGGCCTGACAATAACAACTAACTGTTGCGCGCTCTCGGGCTCCCGCGCCCGGCCACCACAACCCACCACGACTCACCACGGCCCACCACGGTCTGCTGGGCCCACCCCAGCCCGCGGTGAGGCCCGAGCCCGCGTACTTTCCGCAAGTACTACTATCCATGCCCGCCCACGCACCGTGCGGACGCATTGCGCCGGCGGGTGTGCACCCGGTGGTGCAGCCGTGAGCGACGGGAATCCCACCCTGCCGTTGTCAAACGTTGTCAACCTCGCCTCTGGCGACGCGCTGCCGCCGCCGCACCCGCCGCTCGCTCATTTCCGCGCGCTGCTGCACCAGGGAATTCCGCGTCTCAAAAAAAAGGAAAAAGAAAAAAAACTAAGGCGTCCCGCCGTCGTCGCGGCAGGTCGCGGAGAGACACAAAGTAAAGGCGCTTGGTTATTGAACTGTGGCGCATGGCTCGCCCAGGTGAGTGCCGTAGCCGCTCCCGCCGCGTGAGCGATTACCCTAAACGGCGCACGAACCTCACAAAAAGTTGCTCTGCACTCGAGTGTGCCTCTGTGCCCATTGGTGGGCTCAAGCGAGTGTGGTCTTCCTTCCTTCCCGCGCTCCCGCTAGGGACAGCACCGGCAGCCTTGACACACACACACATCCACCGGTCTTCCCCTTTTCGCTGTGTGTGTGTGTGTGTCTATCTCTCTCTTTCCCTGCCTTGTTTTCACACACACTCTCTCACTCACTGACGGCGGGGTCGGACATAACATGTCCCTAATGGCGATGGCGGGTAGTTAAGACTCGCCCGTCGGTCGGCGCCGACCCGATCGCGCTGCGGAAGGGAAGGCAGGCGAGTCGGCGAGGTAAGTCGGCCATTCAACGGGAGTGTGTCAGTCCCCGGCAGCGCAGCGTGCAGACGAGGCGGCGGCAGCAGCCTCTAAGGGCACCCCCGCCTCGCCCCCAAAGCGGACAGGGTACGTGCGTAATGACAAAACCAGAATGGCGGCGACGCCGTGCGTGTGGAACCGAACGGGTTTCCGGTTAGCTGCTGCCGGCCGCCCGGCCCGCCCGCCCGTCCGGAAGGAGCTGGACCAGTGTCCGTCCCTGTCGGTGACGTCAGCTCGGGTGGCCGCCGACCGTCCCGTCTGGAAGGCTCTGCTGCTGCTGCGCCTTGCCCCCCGCCACGGGAGCCAGTCGCGCGCGGACTCCGACCTGTTCGTCTTTTTGTTGTTTTTCCGCTTGAGGTGGGCGTCGTCGCGCCGGCCTGGTGCCGCGCCCCCCGGCCCCGGCCTGCAATGGCAATGTCACGGCAGTCGGGTTTTGCGCCGCTCGGCCCCAGAGGCTCGCGAGCAGCAGCAGCAGCAGCATCAGCTCCGCCCGCCCGGAGTCTCCAGCAGCGCCACCGTGGCTGAGTCACCAGCGGCGGCCTGCGGTCGCCCCCCGCGCCGCCACACCGTGGAGGCGCCGCACCGCCAGCAGCTCGCGACGCGCAGCTGCCACAGCCATACCACCGCCCTCTTTGGGAATGCAATCATATCAACGCTTGTATGATGTGTCTGTCCGTCCAGAGACCCATTCATTGATTGAGCGGATCGGAATGTTTGTCCGCGGCGGGTCGGGTGTCCTTAAGGTCGCGGCGCGGGGAGGCGTCCGGGCCGGGCCAGTACGCGACTATTTATAGGCCGCTGCGACTGCCACGCCGTGCCGTGCCATGGGATGCGGCGCGGCCCATGATGGCCGGCCCATGGCGGCGGCTGCACCGCGAGCCCAGCAACGCGCGTCCGCCTTCCTCGTGGCAACACACATCACGGCGACCCGCAGCCCAGCCCAGCCCAGCGACCAGCCCAGCGACCAGCCCAGCTCTGATTGATGGGGCGGGGACCGTGTACGGGCACACTCGCGCACGTAGTACAGTACAGTACGCGCCGCACGTACTGTACGCACCGCACGTAGTGTACGCACCGCACGCACCGCGCACAGACTCGAGGTGGCATGTACCCGTCGTCGCACGACGAGGAGTGGGCTGGTTCAACTTGCAGTGCACACACACAGACACACACGGTGCTGCTCGCCTCGGCCCATGTAATTGCGAGCAGCCATAACGTGATATCACAATATACGACCGTGTGATTTAACACACAGCAAGCCCTGACAGTTAGCACACTCATCCGAGAGTGTGGGCGGGGTGGGGCGGGGCGGGGGATGAGTTGGCCGAGCTTATCTCCCATTCGGGATGGCGTGGCACCACGCCCGCAGCAGCCGCAGCAGCCGCCATCCCGCCCACTATCTCAAGGCTGCGCGACACTGTAGGGTGCGTATTTGTGTGTGTGAGTGTGCGCGCGCACTGCGCGCATCCTGGCGTGGTGGTCTGGCCTGGCGGGGCACAGCAGCGCACGTAAACAAGAAGAGAGTGCCGTCATGGTGCCGTCCTGGCCGCCCACGCCCACACCCGCCCCGCCCATCAGTAAGTAGCATACGCCCCCTCCCTGATGTGCCCCGCGCACTATCCCCGGCTCGAGTATAAGGTCAATGCAAGACTCTACAGAACGAAACGTTTTGGTGGGGTCGAAATTTGGCCTCGGTTTGAAGGAAATTCCCCCCTCCTATGGTCCTTTAGCCCGCGACACACTTTGACCTGCTTTGACTCTCTGCGTAGCGGTCGCGCACGTTGCCATGCCCAGGGCAGCCTCTCCATGTTGACTCTCCACGGTGACCGCCGCCGCGGCCGGTGCGCCTGCCCGTCGTGCCGCGCCCGGCCCGGCTCCCGACTGGCTCTCTGGAGCGGGCTTGACCGGGCTGGGCTGGGCGCCGCGCTGCTGCCCGGCTGCTCGGTCTGGCCGGCGCGCAAACAATTCCCTGCCGCGTGCCACCCGACCCGACCGAACAGGACTAAAAATAGCCTCCTATAATTTTCATCGACAAACGGACTCACGCGCCGCGAAGGATATATATCCCCGCGTCTCTCTCTGTCTCTCTCGACGATCCTCGGGAAGTGCGAGACGCATCGACCGGCCAAGATAGACGACGCCCGCGTTGCCGCGTCGAAACGTTCTCGCCGAGTAGGTTCTCCCTCCGCCTCACACTCACTCACAGGTGCGGGGCTCAATAACACAAAAACAGGCCAAACACATTCTGCTTTGCATACAGCAGCGTCGCCTAACCCGCAGCTTTTTATCGTGTTTGTCGAGAGGATGCGCCCGCCGTTGGCCTGCCCCCCCCCCCTCCCGGCAGCGCCCACTTCTGTCTTGACAAAGGTGACGAGGAGCGGGTTTATTTGCAATCGGCCCCGCGGGCCGCGAGAGCGCGGGCCCCTTCATTGAATTAATGGAGAATTAATTAGATGTGTGTCGCGTAGCCGCTTGCCAACTTTGGTCGAATCTAAAGACGAGTATCGCGGTTTAGCAAAATGGATAATAATTTTATACATGAAATTGAGGAGACGACTAGCGGCTTTTGTGACCTTCACCTTCGCCGTCCCAGAGACGCGGCTCAAATATATTCCTCTCTCACACACTAAAAAAGAAGGGGATTCCATTTTCATGAATCTTAAGCAAATGCCGTGGTAGAGACATTTCACGTCTCTGCTTCCATTTTTTTTGTCCCGAAACAAAGCAGCATAATGAGAAGAAGGAGTACGTCACGTTCGAGTACCCGGAAGGTTTATGCGGTGGATCGCGGTCGCACCTGCCCGCCTAGCTATCAGACACGGTCCCCCGCCGCGAGCTCGGCTGAGACCCGTGGTGGTGGACTCGCCTCGCGACCGCGTAGCCGGCGGCGGCGGGCGGCAGGCCACGCGCCCCGCCCGCGGCCGGCGGCGTGGTCGTTGGTCTTGAACTTGAAGAGCCTTCGCGTCGTCCCATCGGCTATCTCCTCCTCCCTAAGCCCGCACGGTGCTTATCCGACCATAAAGGGCATTTTCGAGACACTTCTCTTCAACCATCTAACTTAAAAGCTATTCTTTAACGTAAAGACGCAGCCGGTTCTGTGTAAAAGTGATTAACGAATGACGTCCGCTCCGCCGCTTGTTCGGTGGAGTTTCCAATCGATTCGGGCGGTCGCGGAATCGGACAGCACGAGTGCGAGCTTAATGGCTGTGATGAAGCAAGAAAACTGTTCGGAACCACTACCTTTTTCTTTCTTTTTTTTTGGGGGGGGGGCTGACGTTAATTTCCGAAACGCCGGTTGTCCGGGCGCGGGGTGCTGGGTTCGCATGAAGCGTCATGCTCTTGCTCGTCATTAAGAGCGGGTACGAAGCTGCTGCTTGGAAGCGGCTGGCGTACGGGAACTGTGCGGTGCGGCCCCGCGGTGAATCACGGCAACCGGCTGGCACCATTAGCCGGCTCTGCACCGGCGCGCGCGGGACATTCGAGTGTGGGAGGTTATACTCGCGGTACACTACACAGTTGCCGTTGCCATCATACGCCTGCTCACGACGAGTCTTCCTCGCGGTCCTTTTCTCTCTCTCTCTCTCTCTCTCTTTCCTTCTCTCTACTCGCGACGACAGCGTGCCAAAACGATTTTTTGTCTCTGTCGAGATGGGGCGCGCCGCCGGGTCGCACAATGAGCGAGGCATGAATGAATAAGTCAACGCAAATAAAAGGATAGAGTCACCGGCGAAGTTACACAAGGCGCCGCGCGGGTCCGTCCCTTCCTGCCGCTCCTCCCTCTCCCCACCAGGGTCCTCCAGTCACCTCCGCCCCGAGGTGTACTTGTACTTGACTAAAAATTTAAACGTCCACCGGCTTTTTTGTTTTTCCTTTTTTAAAAAAAATTCATTTTGATTGTTTTTACGGTGTCGTACAATAATTTTTTTGGTGAAGTACCCCTTTTTCTGCCCTCCTCCCTCACCATGCTGCACACAGACTTCACCCACAACCCCCTAATGGGTTGCAAACCGGAGCGACCTGCACCACCACGCGTTGGTGCTCGACGCTGGTCTCTGACGCCGACGTGCGAAACAACTCACCTCTGGGGTCGTCCTCTTGGTGGATGCGGAGGGCCGTGGCGGCGGCCGAGGGCAGCAGCACGACGGCGCCCAGGGCCGGCAGCAACGCCATGCTCTCCAGTCCGCCGATGGTGAGGGCCATGATGGTGGTGGTTGGTGGCACTTGCTCGATGTCTCACTCGCACAAAAACACCAACAAAACAACCACTCGCACAAAGTCACTTGCAACCACACGCACACGAAGTCACTCCAACGACACACGCACTCTCTTTCTCTCTATCTCTCACACACTCTCGCTCTGAAACACGCTCGTTCTTTTCGGCGCGCGCTGCGAGCGCATGCGCCTAGCACAGCACACCGGTACGCGAGCTCTGCGCTCTGCTCTGAGACTCTGATGGCGCCGGCCACGCGCTGGGGCCTTATATGAGCTCGCCCGGGCCGGCGGGGCGCGGGGCGGGGCGCGTCCCCCCACCGCTGGGGCTGCGCCGGGCTGTCTGCTCGCGGGCTCGAGGGCTAAGTGACGCGCCGGCCGGCGGCCAGGCAGGCGGCCAGCCCAGGTCGAGGACCTGGTGCTGCTGCTGCTGCTGCTGTCGCTGCCGCGCCCAGCCAGCCCGGGGGAGGCCCTGCCCGTGCACTGCGCACTGCGCGCCTTGCACTCGCAGCCGGCTTGTAAGAGGAGGTAAAAGCATTGTCTTGTTTGACGTCTTGAAACGAAATCGATCTGCCGTGCAAGTCTTTTTTGCACCCCAAAGTTCTTAGCCGTTCTTTGGCGTTGCCCCGTGATGACACGCAAATTTGTTTTATGGCATATTAAGCCACCCTTTCTATTTAGTGGCTTTCAGATTCCTTTGCGTGTTATTTGTCACTTTCATATTTCATTATTTTCTTACACTAAGTTCCCTGACGCCTGCGGACTCGAGGATAGGCAAACTTAGCATCGCGTCGCGCAAGTGTACAACTTGCTTGCCCATCCAGTGTCGTCGCAGGCGCTATGCGCTGTGATCTGTTTTAATGCTCTTTCAAGACGTTCGGTTCGACGTGACACGTACCGTGTGTCAAGACAATGTCCAGTTCCGCCGCGAAGTTTTAAGTGACCAAATAATGGGGTGGGCCACGGAATCTGAATGAGAAAAGTCAAGACCGTTGCCTGACGACGCCCGCGAACTCCGGGGTAGGCAAACTTGACAACACTCCGCACCGGTGCACATCTTGGTTGCCTACGAGTACCGTTGCAGGCGCTACAACACATCTCATGGCTGGGTTTTATCCCCTGTAAAATCGAATTGACCGGCTACTCTTCTGGGACGATGGACGATGACGCATGACGTAAAGCTCACTTTAATGTGCCAATCAGCTCCGAGTCTCGGAACCATAAGGAGGGAAATTCCGGTCGGAAGAACGGTGGATTTAACAGAGACGCCATCGTCGCCGTCCCCGCGTCGGGTACCCTAGCGGCCAAATTAAGGATTTCCACAAAATGCGCAACAAGCTTGTGCGCTCATTTCGCTTCTGCTGGTAAACAATAACAGGAGAAGGCGTCGGATCGAGCGGAGAGGGGAGGGCGGGCGGGCGCGGGCTCTCAGCCTGCCTCGTCGTGTTGTTGTACGGCACCACCTGAGAGTCTGCGGTGGCGGGGCGCGGCGTGGTTGGGCGAGGCGTGGCGGGGCGTAGCCAAGGGGTGTGGCAGAGAGTGAGGATGGTGCGCCGAGTGCTGCCAGAGCGTTAGGGAGAATGCCAAGGCAGCAGAAGTGTGGGCTTATGAGGGGGGGGGGGGGTGTTATCGAGAATAAGCAGACTTGGTGGTGTCTCTTTAAAAAGTGTACCTTACTTATTTACTCGTGGCTTTTCCTTTCTCGTCCAATCGGGCCAATAATCCAGTATCGTTGTACTTGTCCCGTCGCCGCACCACGCGAGTACGCCATCTGGCCGCTGGCGTATAGCGCCAGGCCAGATTGTATAGTAGATCCTGTGCCCTATTGATCCGCTTGGAGTGTCCCCTCTCATCTTTCTGTCGCTAGGCAGCAGCGCCGGCCCATAGCATTTTTTTTCGCCTTCCTGGTGGCGCGGTGGCCGGTGTGGCCTGTCGGTGCCAGTAAGATAGGCGTTCGTCGAAGAGGTGGTGGTGGTTGCGTTATTCGTATCTTTATAGGTGCCCCGTTTTATAATGAAGGGGTGGCGGCGATAAGACGACGACGTGAATCGTCTGAATTGGAATAATATAACGGGTACATATGGGATAAAAAAACGGGGGACTTCGCACCTTTAGTCTGCAGAAGGGTGTTAATGCCTGAAATGGTTGGTCTTATTGCATGCACAATAACTCTGCGAAGCTCGCAGGGAACAAACAAGTCGTCACCTGTGCCACTTCCAAGTACAAAAAACTCTTTATTGTACGAGAGGTTTTAAAATACGAAGTGGCGTACTTTATAGTTTTGTACTTGACTTGGAAAAAGTGCGGAACTGCTTTAGTTTTGTTTGAATAGTCTATAAGTGACGATGTTTACAAGCGAAGATTTTTATAGAGTGTGCAGTGAAGCGCCACCCCAATTTTTTTTAAAGCACGTATTAAGTCAAAGAACGTGCACATATCTATATTGCGGAGTATGAGACGGCGTAGTAAAACATCTTGAAAAGTCGCTGAAAACTGCGGCCGCGGGCGCGATTTTGTCGCACAGGTTGTCCGTCCCCGTGCAGGCTCGGACGCCGCGGTCCCGTTCCGGACAATCTTCTGCTCCTCCTCGTTCCAGAAAGCGGCTCTAAGAATAGCGGCCGAACCGTATCGGAGATAACGGACCAGCCACTCCAGGCCCTGCCGTATCTGGCGCCGCCGTGGAGCGAGTACACTCGTGTGCGCCACGCCCCGGCATGCAACGCCCCGCCACGCGGCGCCACGCTACGCACCGCCACGCCACGCTAGGCAAGGGCAATGTCTCCAAATCACTACACAAGCCAGTAGAACATTCAACGTAAAACAAGCGGATGATCCCGCGCAATTCGAAAAGAACCTGCCGAACCGGCATCGTTTTGTGACATCGATGTATCCCGTTCCCCACCGCTCTGCCTGGATGCATTTTGGTGATGGGATCGAGAATCCTTTATTTCGGTGTGTGTGCCTGTGTGTGTGTGTGCGTGTGTGTGCCCCGCCCCGCTATAGCCTCCGCATGCATCCCGCTCGACGGCTCAACCGGGGCATATTCTCATAATTTTACGACCCCGTTCCTTCCCGCCGCCTTATGTCACCGTTCGTCGTCTTTGTCGCCCTGACCCGGTGACAGAAAGCTCGCCCACGTCATCCCATGGGCACGCTTCCCGCCCTACCCCCCCCCCTTTTTCCCCGGCCTCCATAGCCAGGATGGTCTGGGGTGATTGCGATGCAAGCTCTCATAGCGCCTGGTGGGTAGGCAACATCTTGCATGCAGTGCGTGCGTGTACCGCGGGGTGGCCTACCCCGAGTCTCGCAGGCGCCAAGCGCACGCATGAAGAAAACGGCAGTACTTTGTAGGCAACTAGCTAACACGTCGGATGCATAAAATAATTTAAACGTGTTACTGGTGGGACGCTTTGGAATGCCCACGTTTTACCGACCGTCTTACCTTGTAAAAAACTCTACAATAACCAACGCATCATTCGTTATAAAAGTTGCCTGCGGCTGCTGCTGATGAAAGAAATAATCATGATGACAATTCGTAGTTATATCAACATATTTTGGAAATAAGTGTCGTAAAATAATGAGCTTTTGAGTACAAGGAAGGAAGTTTTGGGAATTGCCAATTACATGATGATATCGTTGGACATAATCCCAACATTTTTTTCTAACAATGTACCTAAACTCCCGCTTATGCCATACGCCAACGCCATCCGCAGGCTGTCCTGCTGTCTCTGCACCATACAGAGCTTTTATATAGCCGTGCCGGCCCTGCCCCAGATTTTCCCGGAAACACCTGCGGCCGCGCCGACCCGCCGCTGGGACACACGAAGAGGACCGATGCGCTGACCGGTGGCGGGTCTCTCCCACGCGTACCGTCCGTGCCGGCCACGCCGCCGGGGGACCGACGGTGTGTGTCATTCAGAAGATTATGTCTGTACGTTCGGAGAATAATTGTGCTCGAAATAATTGGGCCTGCACGAAATCGTGTGCATGAAGGCAGCTCATCGATGTCATGCTGCTGCAAGGCATGGTGCAGCTGCGCAACGCGACACACGCCATGTGTGCACGTTTGGCCACGTGCCGATATTTTTCTCCTGCCAGGCCAGAGAGAGAGAGAGGTGTTGTTATTGTAAATGGTGCCATCATTAAATAGTAAAAGTGTGAGACGTCAACACACGTGGCGGTGTGTGACTCTGCACGCACCTCCTTAGCTCACGAGTGGCGCTCCGCTATCTGCACCCCGCGCCAGCCCCGCGACAGCCAGCCTGCTCGATAAGCTGGATATACGTATCTCTCTCTTTCACTCTCTCTCTATCTCTGTTTCTCCCTCGGTTTTGGCCATCGCCGCTCTATCGCTCTCTCTCTCTCTCTCTGCCTCGGGTTGCTGACTCGCCAAATGATGATTGAAATTCGCACGTTGTTTCGTCAGCCCCGCGGCGCGGCGGGCCTGGTCGTGCAGCGCGTGGCTCTCGTCGAGGGGGTCGCACCTTGTCTCCAACCGGCCCGGCCCGGCCCGTCGCGTCCTGTCGCGGCCCTCCTCACCGAGCGCGTGGAATCGTGCATGCGTCGTGCGTCCGCGTCCCGAGTAATCCGGGCTGTAATCCGGCCCGATGTAATCCAAGCTCTCTAAGCCCGGGCTGTAGTCCAGGCGGGCCGCACGTACGCGTGCGTGTGGACTCGTCACCACGTTTACAATAGCAGCGACTGAAAAAAAAATGACACTCACAAGAAAACGATTGATTTAATTTTCCTTTTCTTTTAATCTCTTGTTACTGTCACCATATCTCTTTTTTTAAGAGCCTTCTAAGAAATATTTTAATGGCGGAGGGGATATTACTCATTAGTCTCCAAAGTGCCATTATTAGCCTCCTTGAAACCTCGAAGTACTTCCAGTGTTTCACTTTCGATCATAACCTCTTTATGACGGCACACCAGCCAGACTTCTCCAAGCGACCGCCACCTCCCTCCTCCCGCCACACCACAACACGCCGCCAGGCCACGCCGCGCGCGAGTCTCGTATGGCGAACGACGACGACGACGACGCGCTCATTGTAAACAAATTCCTTCCTCTGCTTCTGGCTGATGGATGCCCGCGCGGTCCTCATTGAAAGGGATCCACCATTGTCTCTCTGGTGCCACACACAAGTGTCCCCTCCGCCACCTCCACCCCCCGCGGCCGCTGCAGCCTCCGGGCGCGAGCGTGACTCACTCCCGCTGGACCGCAGCCTCCGCCGCCGCAGCCTCCTCGGCCGCGGCGTGT